TGGGTGAACTAACCCTTTAATATATAAGAGCTGATGTCATGGTTTCATTTCTTAACTAGAGTGACCTGTTGCTCCTGCAGAACCCTGACCTCCTCCAAGCATAAGTTCCTCTGGGCCTGCAGTCTTTGTAGCTCACACCTGTAGGACACACACAGCACGTTTTAAATATATTTGTTACATATACACTGATCATTAAACATGGAATTTAAGAACAAGTGCCAATTAAAGCAAATGGGCTGAAGGTTCCTGTAAGCAGAACATACGTGATGTTCTGAGCCTGTGCTCTGCTGTCCTTCACACTGAGCTGGAGAGAGAGATGCTCTCTCTTAGCTTGATCCATTTCCTCTCTCCGCTTCTTCAGAGTATGAAGTGTGGCCTGAAGAAATAATACCACATTTGTTTAATAAATGAGCTTAGTAACGTTTTGAATGAATAAATAAGGGAATTACAGTATGATTTTCATACTGTTTTTTGCTGTTGAAGCTCAGTAAGTGACACGCTCAGCTCTTTGAGTTCATCTTCATCTATTCTGCTCTTGCCCCGATCTTTCTTTGTGCTCTGAAAATAAAAATACTACAAACCTAAATAAGAATATCAATGAATAAGCAAAAAAAAAATAATAATGTTTTTGTTTTTGAAAAAGTAAAAACAACGTAACTGCACATGATAAATGATTAATGTCCATTAATGCTGCTGACACTGATTATTACAGTAATTGTTTAGAGAATGCAAGAGAGGTCTTTTACAATGCAGGAGTCATTCCTTTTGCTTTGGTACAAACGCCTCCTCTTCCCCTTCCTGCCAGATGAATGTCTCCTTCTTCTGTAGTCAAGCTTTGACACAGCACCTTCACTACTCGTCTCCTCAACAGTTCTCTCATCATCAGAGCTACAACACCCACAGAGTAATAGCGAGGAATGGTTTTAATTAGAAATATTTGCATCATGTTTCATATGAACATACTGTGCTGTTCTTTTGCATATTTGTCTTATAATGATTATGCAACTTTAGTGAGCGGAGAGCACATATTATCTTTATATAAAAACTTCCAATGAAACTATGCAAACATGGCAGTAATGAGGGGTTTTGCCCACGGGTTGCTAAAGTCACATTTCTGAGTAAACACCCAGAAACAGCAGCATGAAATAAACACCACCAACCACACAAGACACATTATCCAAGCTGTTTATCCAAGTTTATCCACTATCCAAGTTCTTCCTCAGATTGTCTCCCGTCTCAAATTAACTCCAGTTAAACTGTTGAGAAGTACCTGAAGGATTGAATATTGTTTTGAATTTGGTTGGTTTGTCCTGTACAGTATCCATTTTCTCTGCTCAGATGAAAGGCTAAAGTGGCACACATAAGAATAGACAAAAATATTAAGCAGCACAACTGTTTTCAACATTGATAATAATAATAAAGATATAATAATAAACACCAAATCAGCATATTTGAATGATTTCTGAAGGGTCATGTGACACTAAAGACATATATAATATGCTAAAATAATAAATAATATACTAAAAACAGCTATTTAAGTTGTAGTATTGTTTCACAATATTACTGTTTTTGCTGTATTTTTGATCAAATAAATGCATTCTTGGTGAGCTTAAGAGACTTCTTTCAAAAACATGAAAAACTACTTACCAACCACAAACTTTTAAACGGTGGTGTAATTTTGAGCATAATTTAGATTGCATTATTGCATATCACAACAATGCGATTTCACTGTGTAGTATAAGAATGAATTTAAATAACCCCCCCCAGGCTGTAATTTACAACGAATGTAAAGATAACATACCATATTTGCCATTATATTCCTGGTCAGAGTTTACTCTGTCGGCATATTTTGCAAAGCGTGTGACTGTGACATGCACGCAAAATAAAAAAAGGATTATAGCATCAATAAAATTGCACATGCATTCAGCACACATGACGTTCAGAACACATGACATTAGACATGCATAAGTTAATATGGTAAAGAGCAGAATGCCCACACCTGTACCTGTCCTGTTGCTAAGTGCAGAGTTCAGGTGCTGTCGAACCTGTTCAGAGCACACTGTCTCCAAATCAGTGTCTATGGTGACCGAATCAAAACTCTGCATGGGGATTCCTGTCAGAGGATAAAAAGGTTTTATTTGGGCATGTTTTCTGTTGCACTTCTTAGATTAAAGCAGGTCTTGCCGCAGTGATTCAAAGGAGATGTAAACAGAACAAATCCATAAAGCTCGTAAAGAAAAGGGCATGCTGAACCTGTGAGGTGCCTCATTGGTGTTCTAAATGGATGCTGTGGGTCATTCTTTGATCTTTCACGGTAAGGGCTCCTCTGACACTCAGAGAGGTCTGCGGTGTCAATATTAAGTCAACATTACATTTTAAATTTCCCATTTACTTGTAACTTTTTTCATGTTTTTATAAAATGGGAATGGGAAAAGCCAAAAGCTGACCTTCTGCAGCGCTCTGCTGCCACCTATCTGATTATTTTGGCACCATTTACCTGTGATTTTTATCATTTCCCTCATTCTGACCTATTACACGAGATCACATCATAGGTTAATGCTTCCCCTTGCTCAGTCTGTGTACCTGAGGCCGACGGGACCAGCATTTCCTCTCTAAAGCGTGTTGAGAAGTCCTCAGTGCAAATGCTGTCCATCGTGAGGTCGTCCTCCTCGGTTCCCATACCTGCCACCTCAGCATTTCTCCCAAGAAGCCTCTCGAGTCTCCAACAGCACTGCTCTACCCTGGACACGGAGCTCAAGCTGCCACTTCCCTCAGGACGCCACACATCTGTAGCTGTGACTCCAACCTTTATCATCTCCATTGTCTGATGTTCTATTTGGTCATCTTTGCCTTCTGATATTTTGAACAGGAAATTATAATGATTGATTTTAAGAAGATAGAAAAAAAACCAATAAACAGTCTGTAAGAAACTGTAAATTTAAATTTCATATCAAAGTGTTTAAATGTTATGTTGTAAAATAACATTAACTAAAGTAGTGGGGTGACAGTATAAGAAATATAATAACAATAGATTAACTAAAGTAGAGGGGTGTTACTATAAGCTATAAAATTACATTAATTATTAAAGTACAGGGGTGATAGAATAAAAAAAAATAATGACATTAATTTAAGTAGGGGTATGGAATAAGAAATATAATAGGCCTAACATAAGATTAAATAAAGTAATTAACACTTATCTTGTGCATTTCTTTTGGAATTTTGTAAGAAATATACAAATATTTATATAAAAGTGTTTGCGTGCCTGCCATTTAACTTGAATCATGCCCAACAGATGTCTGTTTTAAAGCAGTGGGTGAGTTATTCACTCCTTGATTTGCCTAATAAAAGACTACTTTGAGATTATGTTGACAAACATGTTTATAGTGCATTATTTTCAATGTGTTTATTATTGCTAAGTTTAGCGTGGCAAGTCATTTCTGTGTGATTTATCCCCAAGCTCAAATGTCAAGCTATGCCTATGCCTAATATTCACAATTGTGCTACTTTAGGCAATGATTTGGGTATAATTTGATTATACATTCAATTCCATATGGGGAAAAAATTGTATGGACCTGACTGAGTCTCGCCAAGGTTGGATGGTGTTTTATCATTGGTTGGAACAGTGCTCCCCAAGCCTGTGTCTTTACTTACAGACTGACTCCGATCAAGATAGCCTGGAATATGTATATAGATCATTAGGAAAATAACTGCATTTAAACATAATAAATACAATAAAATAATAAATAAATAAATAGAACATTAAAAATGCACTAAAAATTCTATATGATTATTTATTGCAGAAAAATGGTTCATGCTTACCCGAGAAAGGAAATTCATATCTTTTGGAGTTTCCTCCATGCATTTGGTTTTGGCTATGGATCTGTTGGTGGGAAAACAAAATCAGGACAATATTATACTCTTGCTATGACAAAAATAATACACCATGGTTATCAATATTTCATCAGACTTTAAATGCTTGACCTGTAGATGACTCAGTTGCGTGTCTATGGCGTCTAGCAGAACATCACAGTGATCATGGGACAATGGCAGCGGTATAAGCCCATAAACATCAACCCCCTCATACACCTCTGAGAAGAAAAGCGATATACAGCAGTTTGTACTACAATAGATACAGGATAAGTATGAAAAGGAAATGTCAATGGTTTCTGACCTGCAGACAGCAGGTCATCAGTGTTTTCTCCAGATCCTTCATTTTCCATTATTGTTCTGAAAGGACAGAAAATTCAGTTATGCATGAGAATGAAATGTAAAACTAACATATCTCTTTGGAATTGAGCATTTGAGCTAAAATGGAAGCAGCCGGTTTTAAGGGGGAGTTGTTGGTTATATGGTTGCCTAGGAAACGCAGCAGAAATGGTCCCCAACAAACACTAGGGCCTCTTACATACAACGATCCTCATAAAGTCTAACAAAAACCAACAATTCGCAGATTTCTTACGAGGATAATGCAAAGGATAATGCATTTCTGTTTATTCACTTATGCTATTTCATAGCTAGGTACTTTTGCTCTCTAGGAAGAAAAATTACACACATACCACAGCATGGTCTTATTCGTAGCTCTCACTGAATTAATTATCAGTATCAGTAATTAAAGCAGACTCTACTTTGTTTCAGAACTCTCAAACATATCTTTTTGCACGAGTTGGTTTTTAAATAAGTTTTTACACTTACGTCAACGTGGTTCCACTCCAAGTCTTCTCTAGAAACGGGGTTGAACAGCAGAAATAGGTAGACATGTACACATCCATAGCCCTCGGCGTCATGGCAACTACACACACCCACTAACTGCCTGCAGGACTAGAAACTTTAAGACATGTATTTTTGTTTGTTCGCAATGCATAGCATTTTTATCAAATCTATATATGTTGCTATGTTTTTAAATTAAAAAAGAAACATGTATATAATTAGCAGTCACATACATCTCCTGTAAATCTTAGTTAACACCAATAATTAAAATGCCACTGCTGGGGGATTTTAAATCACACTCTGGCAACTCCGGTCCTCTCGGAAATATCGCGATAGAGTTGATATGTTCGCGCTGACAGTGCAGTGAAACAAGTTTCCATCCCTGATGACAAGCAATTTCATAACAGTGGGTGAATTTGCAGTAGGTCGAATTTCATTTGTTATATTTTACTAATTTAGACGAATAAATTTAGTACATACATTTTTAGATTCATTGATGTTTGGTAAATTAGAACTTTGAATTGCTATGCTAACCAGCTAGCAGGGGTATTATTATCATATCGGTATTTGATATTGATGTGAGCAGCCTGTATATTTTAAAAGTAAGTGGATATCTAAAAAGCTCAAATCCAACAGTACTTTATGTCTACCTAATATGCTGTCTCTTTGTCTGGCAGTCGGTCTGAGAAGAGAGAGACTAACTGTTACCTGACAATTTACCATGGTTGTTTTTGAATAATAGTAACCACTGTACATGTAGTAAATATTGTAAGAGCATCGTAAAACCGTAACTTAGTTGGATCAGTGTAACATTGGTTTCGAAAATATAAACATTCGTTATGAAAATAGTTACTTAAACTCCAGTTTCTAGGTTATTGTTCTAGGTTAACATACATGAGACATGAGAGTGAACTAGCAACTTCATTGTTAGACCAGATCCTGAACCTTCAGGTTTCCACAACCCCTCCGTTAAATGGTATTCAAATGGTCTAACGTTATGTTTATCAGGTGAAGTAGAAAATGGCCTCATATTTTGATGAGCATAACTGTGAGCCCACGAATCCAGAAGAACAGTACCGACAGAACGCCCTGCTGGAGCTTGCGAGGTAACGAGCACGACTGCACTGAAACTCGCCGATGGATAGTGCACAGTTTCTTTAATCAGTGTTTCACAGTTTCTTTCTTTTTAGTCTGTAGGTGTACATATACATTACCATTCAAAAGTCTGTGGTCAGGAAGGTGTTTTTTAAAAGAAATGAATACGTGTATTCAGTAGTGCAAAAGTTTTTGTTTGCATAATATATGTGTGTGTTCTGTGTATATTTATTATGTATATATAAATACACATACATACAGTATATATTTTGAAAATATTTACATGACTATATTTATATTCATATAATTTATATTATAAATAAATATATTTAATATATAAACA